GTCATGCTGCAGGCTAAGTTTAGTCTTAATATATAAAAATAGTATATGAACAGGGCAGGCGTGGTGGCACATGCCTTTAATCCTAGCACTTGGGAGGCAGAGGCAGGCTGATCTTTGTGAGTTCAAGGCCAGCCTGGTCTACATAGTGAGTTCCAGGACAGCTGGAGCTACAGGGAGACCCTGTCTCAAAAAAAAAAAAAAAAAAAAAAAAAGTATATGAACAAGGAAAGAAAAAATTAGCAATTTAAAAGGCAGAATTCATATACATTAAAAATGGTCCATAAACTCAACCTTAAAAATATCAGTTCTGAGACTGGAGGGATGGCTCAGTGGTTAAAAGACTGATTGTCCTTCCAGAGGACTCAGGTTCAATTCCCAGCACCCACATGGCAGATGACAACCGTCTGTAACTCCCGTTCCAGGGGATCCAATGCCCTCTTCTGTCGGCAGGCACTGCTCGACATGGATGTACTTACATGCAGCCAATATACATTCACATAAAATAAATAAATAAAATACCTAAAAAAAAACCACATCCGTTCTTCCCCCATGGCAGAAACCATGGGAGCTACATGCTATCTTTCTACAGCACTTTCCCTACTTGATATTATACTTGCCCTCTTTTCTATTTATTATTTTTCTTTTTTAAATTTTTTTTCTTTGTCTTTTTAAAAAACTTTTTGTTTTTGTATCTATTTATTATTTTTATTTTATGTGTATGAGCGTATTGCCTGCATGTGTGTAAGTGTGTGTACCCGTGTCATACAATGCCCAAGGAAGTTAGAGGAGGGTGTTGGATTCCCTGGAACTGGAGTTATGGATGCTTGTTAGCTGCCATGCAGGTGCTGGTAATTGAACCTGGGTCCTCTGCAAGAACAGTCAGTGTTCTTAACCACTGAGCCATCCCTTCAGCCCTGCTTGACCTCTTTTTTTCTTTTTCACTCCTTTCTTCCCATCTCCTCTCCTCTTTCCTCTCCTCCCTTACCTTCTTTTACGTCCTCTTTCCTCTCCCCTCCCCTTCTCTCTTTCTCTTCTCTGTGTGGATCATCATCATTTTGGTGGAAAGGAGCTGCATGCATTTGTACCCTGTCATGCCTCAACTCTTCTGGGTTATCTTCTCAGTGAGGAGTCCTCTTGTATTTGCAGCTTTTCTTATCTAAGGAAGAGCTGGAGTTTAACTTCTTTGTGACATTCCTTATCAGGTTTCTGCAGAACAATCAGAGCTGACACCAAGAGTGATTTAAGTTCTTCAGAGCTTACAGTTTATAACAGAATTGGTTTGAATTTTTTCATCATCTGAACTGTCAGTTACTGTTTTCCTCCCAATATGCTTATGTATTAGTGCCATGGCTCTGTAACAAATTATAAACTTGGTAGCTTGAAGCAACATACATTAATTCTCTTCTAATCTGGAAGTCAGGATCTGAAACCAGTATGTTCCCAGGGTTGCAGTCTCCACAGAGCCTCTAAGGGTTACGTGTCTCTTGCAGTTCTTGGTGGTTGTCAGCATTTCTTGGTTTGTGGAAATTATTCCAACTCTGCCTCCGTAGTCTGTGTAGACTCTGCCTCTCATAAGGATATTAGTGGTTGCATTTAGGCCCACCCCAACACCACCAGATAAGCAATCTCTTTACCTCAGTGTCAATAACTTTATAATATTTAAAAAGCCTCTTTTCCCAAATGAGGTAGCATTCAGAGGCTCCAGGGACTAGGATCTAGTATCTTTGAGGGTCAGTATCAGCCAACCACAATTTATATCTATTTTTGCCAATTAGTTCAAAAGTGTGATGACCTATGAAAATTTATTTGCATTCCTTAAATCACACTGTAAGCTAAACCTAAACAATTATTTTGACTTCAAATTTTGTTTTATGTGGTTGCTGGCTGTGGCTGCTCTCCTCCGGCTATGGCCGCTTTCCTGCTCTCTTAGTTCCTCTAATCAGCCGTCCGGTCCAGACCCCAGGGCTGGTGAGGAGACTGTGTCAGCGGAGCTGCATTCAGACACAGGAGACCAGGTTCAGTGACACAGATCTGCTTTATTGCAGGAAGGCACAAGCTTATATAGGGATAGTGGTCCAGTCACAGCACAGCAAGTAGGATACCTTATTAGCATAACAGGTTTAGCATCCTATCACAGTACAGCAAGTAGGATACCTTGATTCCAAGGGTGGTGGTTAGGGAGTGGTGAGCTCTAGGCATCAGTCTCATGATCTGCCAATAGGAGCAAAATATCACAAGGCATTCCTTGTGGCTCCAGCAATTGGGCTGTTGCCTCAGGCCTGCTGTATGGCTGTCAATAAGACTTTCACCCTAGGCTCAAGCCTGTCTCCCACAATTTTATAATACTTAGATTATATTGATTCAGTGATAAATGCAAAGTGCTGTAATTTTTAGATAATATTTTTATTGATTCTTTGAGAATTTCATACTATATATATTTTTTCTTTTGTTTGTTTGTTTCTTTGTTTGTTGAGACAGGGGTCTCACAATATAGGCTGACCTGGAACTTACTATGCAGACCAGGCTGGCCTTGAGCTCACAGAAATCCACCTGCCTGTGCCTCCTGAGTGCTAGGATTAAAGGCGTGTACTACTATGACTGCATAAAATGTTTTCATTCTATTCAAAATCTCTTCCTCATCTCATCCTCACCTCCTTACCCCCCACTTCCTATCCTCCTATCTCCTTTATTTTTCATTTTCTCATTCTTTCTATCATATAAACATATATATGTATGTATGTTACGTGTGTGTGTGTGTGTGTGTATGAGTATGGGTGCCTGAGAAGGCCAGAGAGGGTATTGGATCCCTGGGAACAGGAGTTACAGGTGGATGTGAGCTGGTTGACATGGGTGCTGGGTACTGAACTTGGGTCCTCTGCAAAAGTAGTATGCACTCTCAAGTTCTGGGCCATCTCTCCAGCTCTCTATATTTTTAAGGCTGAGTGAGTTCAATTTGTGCTCCCAAAATACTCTTGGGTATTGGTCTATCCCCTGGAGCATGGTCAACCAACCCAGCATCACACCCTTAAAAAAAAAAAGACTGTCCCTCTCTCTGCATATAGGTTTTAAGAAGTACACACTATTAAATGATCTGAAATACATGTAATTTGAATGGTTGTCCAAAGGAAGAGAGAAGAGGGAAGAGGAAAAAAAAAAAAACAAAAAACACCACCACCACAACAAAAACCCACAAAGGAAGAGAGAAGAGAATGTTTAGAAGAGCATACAGATTTCCTAATATGTATGAAAATATGTCACAGAAAGTAGCAGTTAGATGCATGCTGTATGACTCAAATCAAGAACAATTCATAGAGCTGTGTGGGGTGACAAATCCCCTTAAATCCCAGCACTTGGAAATGCAGAGGCAGGCATCTGAGTTTGAGGCCAGAGTTACAGACCAGCTGGGGCTGCAGAAAGACCTTGTCTCAAAAAAAAACCAAAAAAACAAAAAAAACCCAACAAAACAAACAAAAAAAAAACCCAAAACCAATGAATTGTAGGCTGAGAAATACAAATTTCAATCCTCTCATAAGGAATAATTTAGAATGGACAACAGAAGAGTCTTTATTAACATTTTATTTTTATTTTATAAGTGTTTTGCCTGTACATATGTAAGTGTACCACTTGTGAATGTAGGCATTGGATCCTCTGGAACTGGAGTTAGGAATGGTTATTACCCTCATTGTGGGTGCTAGGAACCAAACTTGAGTCTTCTGGGAGAGCAATAAGTGCTCTTAGCCACTGAGTCATCTCTCCAACCTCATAAAGGCCTTTTCTAATTTTGGAAGTGTTCTTGACTGTGTAGAGACCTTGAGGAAAGTGTGCAGTGGAGAAAGGCAGAGAATATAGTCTCAGATACAATTATGAAAATATTTCACAAAACAAAATCTTTTAAATGATTGATTCTAGACAACTGTAAAGAATTTTACCCTTCTTCAATCTATTTTCTAATTATAGCCAGAGTGATTTTGTAAAAGGTAAAATCTGATTATGTCAGCCCCTTTGATAACTTTCTGCACCCTTCATTTGATTAAAAGCTTTTCTGTATTGATTCCTGGCTTCCTTGCAAGTCTCATCTTAAGTTCTTTTCCTGTCTGCATTCTCTTTTTAAAGACAGGGTCTTGCCATATAGCAAGCTAGCTAGCTAGCCTTACTATGCATATCATGTTGGTCTTGAACCTAAGGTGGTACTTCTGACTTTGTTTCCTGAAATTCTGAATTCTTGTCACACTTCAGTTCAACTCTAGGTACTTTGTCCTCCCTGGTGCCTCTCCTTTTTGCCTAAGATACCCCTCACCAAAGGCAGCTTCTCCAGGAAGGCTTTTCTAGTAGGCTAACTCCACTGGCTTCCCATGCATACTTGCAAAATATTCTGAAATGCTTTAAGTTGAAAGTATTCATTGTGTAATTGCTCATGTCTTATCTCCTTTGTTAAAAATGTAAGGGTTCTGAGGAGATAATGTATCTTATGCAATACAGTGTCTGACAAATAAACATATTCACATATTTGTTGAGGACAGAGATAATGTGTCTTATGTAACACAGTGCCTGACAACTATACATTTCCACATATTGTTGAATAAATGAGTGGATGGGTGGGCTGCCTTTTCTTTCTTTCCTTCTTTCTTTCCCATTCTTTCTCTCTCTCTCTTTTTTTTTGGTCTTTTTGAGACAGTGTCTCCCTTTAGCCCCAGCTGGCTGTGTAGACCAGGCTGGCCTCCATCTCACAGAGATCTGCTCACCTCTGCCTCCTGAGTGCTGGGACTAAAGCTACACCCAGCGCTTCTTTTTTTTTAAAAAAAAATGGTGAGACATGGTCTTTCTGTAGCTCCAGTTGGCCTGGAACTTAGAATGTAGACCAACCTGGCCTCCATCTCATAGAGATCTGCCTGCCTTTGTCTCTTTAGGGCTGAAATTAAAGGCCTGTGCCAACAAGCCCCGCCCACGCCTTTTCTTTTTTAACTGAGGTGTAAAGAAGTCTAACCAATGGGGCTAGAATGATGGCTCCGGAGTTAACCGCTGCTCAAGAGAACTGCTCAGAACCCACCAGGCGGCTAATAACCTTCAGTAACTCTAGCTCCAGGGTATCCAACGTCCTCTTCAGGCCTTGGCAGTATTGCACGCATGTGGTGCATGTACAAACATGCAAGCAAAACACCTATATACACAAAAAATTTAATGTTTGATCTATGAAGAAACAAAAGTTTCTTAGTTGACACCAGACTTCTAATCACAAAATTTCAGAAACGTCAGTATGCTTTATTTTGTGTATGAGTGTTATGCCTGCATGTATGTAAGTGCACCCACGTCCTGCAATGCAATGCCCATGGACAGAAGAGGACGTGGCATTCCCTGGAACTGGATCTGGAGTAAGGAACGGTTGTTAGCTTCCATTTGGGTGCCGGATTTCGAACCCCGATCTTCTGCAAGGACAGCCAGTGCTCTTAACCTCTGAGTCATCTCTCCAACTCCTCAGTATGCTTTCTTGAGAAAGTGTACTTCATGAAATAAAGGAGAGGCAGATGAAGCAAAAGCAGCAATCGTCAAATAAACCAGGACCATCTAAGTGGAGTCAGCATGGAAGATGGAAACTCTGGGGAAGCATGGCATAATGGCTTATATTATTCATTCATTCCCAAATGGCCATAGCCTGGCATTTAGGGCTGGGAACTGAGGAAAGAACGTCTTGGGCAACCATGGCCTTTAAGCCTACAGCCTAACCAGGAGAGAACAAAGTAATTTCACCGAGTGTGGTAAGCCCTGATAAAGAAGCTATACCATTGTTAGGAAATACCTTCCGGGGAAAGTAGAGAAGATGGAAGGCGTGGGGAGGACGGTGGGTGGTCAGGAAAGCCTTTCCGGTTTCAGCCGAGACCGGAAAGATGAGTACTAGACGCCTTTCTGGCGTTCTGGACACTTGAAAACTTCTACAGCCCCTACTCGAGCTCCACAGAGAGAGAGTCAAGGGCACCTTGGCAGGTTTGGTTTGCGACGACCCCTGGTGTGACAGGTGGTCAGCTTTGTGCATTTTCCGTGGACGCGACACAACGTCCTGCCCTTCAGCCCTGCAGCAGGGCAGGGTCTGCTCACACAAACCCGCGTCTTCCTTCCCGCAGGATCCCCCAGCACAGAGCGGCCCAAGCCCAGGCCGGGGTCAGGCGTGCTCCGCCGGCCCCGCCGGGCCGCGGTCACGTGATGCGGGGTGTGACGTAGGAGGAAGGAGACGCCATTAGAGGGAGGAGAGGGAGCGCTCGCCAAGCCTCGGGTGCCTGACGTGGTGTCCGCGGCCCTTCATTCTCGGACTTCCTCCCGGCCTTGCAGGCCTCGCCCTCGGAGGACGCGCAGCGGGCGCCGGCTCGGCAGGGTGCGGAGGGTCGAGACCCGGCGGTGCGGGCGCCGCGCAGGCGGTGCGGGGCTCGGCGCGGCGCTGGGCTCGGGCGGCCGGGAGCGGCGGGGGGACCTGGGGCGGCGGGGGGGCGGGGGGGGGGGGGGCG